AACACTCAGTATATTGTGGCAATATCGCATGAGGAACTCTCCCTCCCTTTTAGCCTCTATATTTAAGTTGCTTTTACTCATTCAGCAAATCCTATACAAAAAAAAGAAGGTCTTATGGAGAAACAAACAAACCAATAGAAGTTAAATTGAATTAGTTGGCCGTCGGCTAGGCTACATAACCATCACTTCTCCCTCAGCACTTCCGCAGAATGCCAGGCAGGTAAATAATCGCTTCTGCTTTAATTAATAAATGCATCATCCTTAATGAGAGGGGCTTGTTAGGCACTACTGCTACTGGTCTGTTTTTCTTTTGATTTGCTTTTCTCCTTTTTAACTTTCAAACTTAATTTCTACCTCTGAAGCATGCTAATTGCTCTTGCCTCTCAGCTTTATAAACAACAACAAAGTTTTCTCATTTGGAAGCTGAGAGCGGTGTAATGTGTGGCTATCGATCGCAGGGGGAAAGGAGATTGCCCCCGGCTGGTCACAAACCGAATGACTTTAATATCTGAATTAAAGTGGGCCGGGGATAAGAGTAAACACACTTTGGGGATACAATGACAAAGGCCCTTGCGCTTGAATCACTCAATATTAATATAAGGATTTCATACCACTTGCATCACACAATGAATTTAGAGCAGGGGTTAGGGTTATCATTTATTTAGTTTATTAATAGTATGGTCTAATAAATGTCAGGAAATAGGTGAGGTCTTTAAAGTCTACCTTTGTCTGACAAATAGTCTGAAACCAAAATATAGGAATTTCCACATAAGGCATTGAATAGCTAAAAAATGCTAAAGCCATGAAAAAATATTTGACACATTTATTTGGCTTGATTTAAAAGTTTATTGATTTTAAAAATGTTGTTTAACAACAAAGTTTATGCTGCATTCAAAACAAAAGTGAAAGACTTTGTGTTATATTGATGTAATACTAGATTGCGGTGTAATATTCAACTTGCACTATTTTACTTACTTATATTTCTGTTTATGTCTTAAATAAAAATGTTGTTTCACTGTTAGAGACTGGGACTTTTTTGGACAACCAGTGCTTTGTTGTAGAGACAGAGTTGAAACATTTGGATGACACACAGCAAATGGTCATGGGCCGGATTCGAACCCTGGTCCTTTCCGGTACATCGGCCAGCTCTACCAATTGAGCTATATGACGGCCCAGGATTTAAGATGTGTATTGCTTACAACTAAGCTCTAGCTAATGTGCATATTATGATACAAATTAAATTCAAAAATTGAGCTGGCTACATCTGGTGAAAAAAAAGTCAGCTGCAGAGTTTCTAACTGAAACCACATGATGGGTTCACAATAAAAACGGCTTGGCACCTGTCTACATTATTGAACTGTTAAATCTGAGATCCTCGGCAGTAATCTATTCCACAGTCAAGGCTAAAGACCGAGGGGGGGGGCAGGCCTTGTCGGTTGGGGCCTTTATGCCCTGGAACATACTTTAACAGCTTAACATCAAACAACTCACTCCAATTCTACTACCTTCTTTTTTACTCCTTTCATTTAATGATCTAGGTCACCCAAAACTCGAAGGCGCTCTATGTAAGAGCATTATTTAGTTGGATGCTAATGAGTACTGTATGAAATCATGCTGACTCAACCTGTTTACACAACATGTTCTCGTTACTAAGAATATCACTAATCAAATTCATGCATTGACTTAATTATGGCATTTCGAACATGACTTCTTAGTATGTGAAGAAGGCAGAACTGGCTTCTACTGTAATTACCCACAATGTATTTCTCTTATGCAACGCTGACTTTTGGCCCAGCGTATTGCAGCTTCTCTTAGTAATGCACATAAAGGCCCTGACACACCTACCCGATTTTGGGAGTCAGACATTCACGGCGCCCTACTCAGGTTGGTGTGTCCCGCACCATCGTTGCTTTACGGCACATTTTCACACCTCTCGCGGCCCGATTCACATGTTGAATCGGCCAAAGAAGTCGGCCAAAGAAATCACTCTGATTGGCTGTTGCCTCTTTTGAATGACGAATACACACTACCGCTGCCTGCTGGTAAGGACAGTTATTGCCACTCGTCGACTGAAGTCTTTGCGGTGTGTTCGTAGGCAGGCGACGCAGGGGACATAAAGGCGGGACGCCTTCGGTACGCGTTCTTTGGTCTCAGGTTGGTGTGTAACGGCCTTTAGGCCAACACACACACGATGACCGGTTCTTACAGGGCCCTTCCTTAGAATGTAGAACCTCTGAGCGGATTGCTGCCAATGTGTAGCCAAAGCACACACATGATATGGTTTGTATTTCATGACAAGGACATGATGCAGTGGTAAAACTTTGATGTCCTGCGATGAATAAACTAGTTTGGTGAAGCAGATTCATTTTAGGTCCACTGTGAAGACTAATTTCAGACGCTCACAGAGATTTTTTCTCAAAAAGCCACGGGGGATTAAATGTCAGTGTGACAGGGAGGTGAAATCCAGGAAGCACCTGGCGTTCACAGTGATAAAATTGGTTTTAAAGTAAGAGACCGAGCACTGTGTGTGTCCTGAAAAAATAACTGTACTCAACGATACCTGAGAGGACTGATTCAAGTGTGTTTTTGTTAACTGGATTTGTCCAAATAAGGGGCTTTAAGTTGCGTGCACTGCTTTGTATCCATACAGGGATTTATTGTTTATTGTTGTTATTTCCACTGAGTGCAATATACATAAAACAGTGTCTGAAAAAGTCAACACATGATTTTTTCAGAGCATTTTAAACCCAGGTATACATCACTAGCCCAATGCTAAGCTGTTAACATTTGACAGGTTTGCTATGCACCTGCTATAATAACAATGTACCCATAAAACATGTTTAGTGGCTTAAAGAAACATACTGTTGCATGATATAATGGTAACCGAGAGCCATGAAATGAATATATTTCTGATGACAAGATAGAGCGAAGAAAACTAAAACGGAATGATTATAAAATGTAAACTAATATACAGACATTTAAACTGACAGTAGATATATTACAATGGACGGTAAGCTGAGTCAAGGAATTATGGAATTATGGAAGCCTTTTTTTTTTTTAAGAACCTTCCAGCATGACTCAGCCAACCTGAGCTCAGGAGTAGATCTGTGACAATGTGATTATAGTTCTGAGATTTGAAAAACAGCACCTGCAGGATGAAAAGTGAGTAAAACCTCTATTTATCTTCTCTGCATCTGTATCCTCAGTTCTACCAATGCCTACAGGAAACATCACGTCAAAGAGCAGCTTGAGACTGAGAGCAACAGTTGATCACAATCAAATAAAACAGTGATCCTTATCCTAATGGATAATTGGGAATAAGAAGGGAATTCTTGGTACACATTTACACTAATTACCTTATGGGAAGACAACCTGATGATGGACACAGGGCATATGCAGGAATCCTGAAGTCAAATGTAATACCTTTTAAGACCTTTTTTAAGACCCTTTCCATACATTTTAAGACCTCATTCGCAACTTCGAGTTCTAACCGGTTAAATTGGCGACACACTTTACCTCACATTTACTATATACTATTATTATTAGTATTGATTGTAAGATAGCACAACTAAACAGTTTGTGATAACTCCTTATCATAATTCAGATAGAACAAAGCACAAGAGAATGAATTGTGAGACCAACCCAATGCAGAAACCATTAGAAAGTAGTATTTGATTTAGGCATTGTTCCCAAGAGATACAACAGACAGACTACTGAAGCCTCCTCTCCACATGAACTTCAACCTCTCTGTCAAGGTCAGGTTTAATGCAGTATGCTGCTTTTTTGCTTCTGTAGACTTTATGCTCTTTCATTCCAGTAAAACTCCTCAGAAACCAGTATTTGACCAATAAACAAAAACATTTACAAAACTTTGAACTATGAAATATATTAAACTTTGGTGAGCTTTAGCCATATAAGAGCTCCCTCACAAATACCCAGTGGTTAAATTGGGCCGGGGCTGTCCGGGGCTAAGCCCCGGCACATAGGACGATGCTCTGACGTCATCACCCTCGCACATTTGTTTACAAAAAACATATTGTATGTTAAGACTTTTCTCGTTCTTAATATAGACTATATTTAGGGTTGATATGTGTTGACTTCACTTTAAAATAGCAGATCTCTGTGACCGGATATAGTTTGGCTTAGTGAACGTGTGTCTCTTCCTTGGAGGAGCAGCATCGACCGGACTCCGTGGCTCCTCCGTGGCTCCTCTGTGGCTCCTCTGTGGCTCCTCTGTGGCTCCTCCGTGGCTCCTCCGTGCAGAGAGTCTGCACTGCAGCGTTGTGTGACAGGGACGTGCAGTCAGGGGAGGCACGGATTGGACATCGGGAGAGTCGGGACAGTGGCGATTCTAGAGTCTGTCGAACCAGCTTTCACCATCAGTTGTGCCCCAACACACTCCCCCCCCCCCCCCAGAGCGGAGCAAGGCAACGAAACTTAAAATAAGAAGCAGCATGAAATGCCGTGTAATAGCCTTAATTTTCGCTAAATTGATTTATCAACTGTTAATACTTTTTAAGACCCCGCGGACACCCTGACAGACTGAGGAAAGCTTGAATAAATGTCAGATTTAGAATAGAATAGAATGGGAGGGATGAAACCCTCTTTAATGGTCACACATGCAGAGCACACAGCACACACAGTGAAATGTGTTCTCTGCATTTAAACCATCCTAGTACCAGGAGTCTAGTAGGAGCAGTGGGCAGCTAGTGTACAGCGCCCGGGGAGCAATGGGAGTGAGGGGGAAAGGGGGGTGTCCGGTGCCTTGCTCAAGGGCACCACGGCAGGGCAGGAGGTGAACTGAGACCTCTCCAAGTAGCAGTCCACACATACCAGACCATATTTAGGTCTGTTCGGGGACTTGAACCGGCAACCCTACGGCTCACAGTCCAAGCCCCTACTGACTGAGCCACTGCCGGAGAGATGATGAGGCTGGCTATTCACATGACTTGCACGTGTATGTGTGAGTGTGTGTCTGTGTTTGTGTGTGAGTTCCTCACCCTGTGTACTTCGTTCTCATGTCCTCTGCGTCGTAAGTCTGGTTCTTCATACGGCGGCACACTTCCTTCTCTCCTCGCCTGCTGATACTCTCTTCTTAGCTGCTGGATCCTGTCCACACTAACAAACACACATAAGAAAAGAAAAACAACACGGTTAATTAAGCTTGTACACCTCTTAAGTGGATTTGGAGAAATACAAGAACCCACAGGTAGAGTAGAATAATTAATCAAATGTAAATAGCAATCCAGATTGTGGCTTCCTACAATTAAATGAACATGAACGTTTATGATAATCCTGTTTAGAAGTTGTGCTCTGCTTTTAGTAGACTTTATAAGTATTCTTATTTCAACAGTCAACAAACAAAAAGACAAAACAAAATAAAAAAGTGAACCTTTAGTGTCACTGTGGGAAGTTACATCTGGATCCCGACAGAAGCTTTCCTGATGATGAACCAACCAATAGAAGCCATCTTTATTCAAATAATAATTCTACCTGAATCAGCCTGCAGAAATAAAATGAATCACACTCACTTGTGTATGTGTATGCAAACACACTACACACTCACACACACAACAAGATCGATCTCTTGATCATTCTGACTGCCTTCATCTATAACTTAGTATTCATCTTTCTCTTGCAAAAGGCACAACAACAAAAATATCAATCATATGAATATTCTTTCTCTCTGTCAACAGATAACATATACAGCACATCAACACTGACCCTGGGCACCCTTGAGTCATGCACATACACACATATCCACATATAATGGAATTATGGAAAGTCAGATAATAAACATGTCCATTAGAGTTGATGGAAGGACACAAAATGCATTGATTCAACATTTATGAAAAGTCAGAAAAAGTACTTTCTTTCTGTCTCCATAAAGTCTGTGAACCACACTGTGCCTTCTGAGAGTGTTGCATTGCCACAACTCAGCATGTGACTCGTAATGCAATTTGCTGCCATTCATTACTGTAAAACTAACTCTAACTGTAGACATGGGACAGAATTACTGTGTTTCACACTTTGGAGGGAAACCCTGCTGCTGTGGAGAGAGGTTAGTAAATCATGGAATAAAGTTTGGGATATTGCATTCCTAACTGGGGTCTTGTTTTAGGCTACAATCCCTCAGGTATACGCAAAAAATAGGTCTTATTAGCAGCATTGTAAATGTACGCAAAGCCAATACATAACAGAAAACAATCCACACTGACTGTATGTGCATGTATATATTTCAGGTAAGAAACAGAAAAACAGAATTATACCATACTTTATACTAGGGCAGCTCACTTGCGATTATTTCACTGATATTGCAACGTAGATATATGTCTCAATGTTGGAGGGATTGATAATGTGTGCATCATAATTGTCATTATCATTAAAAAATATATTAAAATGATAATGGTGTCATTTTTAAGAAAGATCTTTACCAAACAAATGTGTTTTGTCAAGTCTGTATAATGTGATTTAATTTGCCGGGATATTGCTGCACCTCCACAATACTTTATTCACAATGGTGTATTAACTCATAATTAGCCTCTCACATTTATTGTGTTTCCTGCAATTTGAATATTGCACTAGTCGATATTGCTATTTCAATCAAATGTGTGTGATTATAAAGGCTTTGCAACATGCTAGAAGAAAATGCATTAAATGGCTAGCATATTAGCATGCAAACTTGTATTGTTTCATTTTTTGGGGAGTATCCCAGAAGACAACCTGCCATATTGTTAAATATTATTTTTGGAATAATAAACCCTGCATTCAATGCAGTTATTATCTAAAAAAAATGCATTATCACACTTTTTCTTCACCCTCTCACTTATTTTGCTCCCACCTCTTCATTCCCCTTCCTCTCTTTGAACCTATGAATCCAGAGAGGTGTGTGAATGACTATAATAGCAGCAGTGCTGAAAAACACATTACAGCGCTCTCACATCACAAATCATATACTGTATGAATCGTCTACTGCAGTGGTTCCCAACCTGGGGGGCGCGCACTTTAAAAAAAATGTTTAATTAATACAAAAAGGTAATTAATACAAATGATCCCAAAGATTGTATGAACTATGAAAAGATCTTAAAATCAATACAAATGTATTTATTATAAACGTTAGTCCTTAACATCTATCACTGTGTATATCACCATTCAAACTGGAACAAACGACTAATTTGATAATCGATTAATCTATCGATTAATGAAACGATTAATCGACTATTCAGACTATTATGCCTTGCACAATTTCTCAAACGCTCTTATTTAGCCATCAACTTTTAGATTTAGCTTGAGGTTGTTTTAGGCATGTGGAAACTAACAATGAAGACAATAAAGATGAATACTTGATTCAAAAATACATATATTATTAAATTAACTAAACACATTTTGAACAAAATTAACATTGCTTTTTATTTAAATTAAATAAATAATATTTCACATCAAAAGAAACAACAGTGTTTTAACAAATCGTATTAAATAATGTGATGACAGAACTTTAAACAGAATAGCTACAAAATAAATAACTCAGTTACCTCTAATCATTAACCCATGTTTATATAATTGAGTTAACTCTGTGTGTTGCTGCTAGCATACATAACACCTGACGTGGAAACGTTCCTCCTGGATGGGGCTACAGAGCTGCTAGAAAGACGGTCGAACCCGGTGCATTCCTCCGTCTGAATGTGGTGCACTTTTGCTAAATGTTTAGACAAATTGTTCGTGTTACCGCCCTTACATGCTAAACTCTTATTGCACTTTTGGCAACGAGCATTGTCCACATCGAGACGGGTAAAGTTTAACCACACCTCCGAGCGCGTTCTCTCCGCCATCTCCTCCGTGTGTGTGTGTTGCTGGATGTAGCAGCTGCGTGTGTGTAAACTGCCCCGCCCCCTCGCACACAGACGGGGAGAGAAAGATCTCTCTTCTGGATTGGAAAGATCGAAAATACATCATAGACGCATTTTTTTTTAGGGCTGTCAGTCGATTAAAATATTTAATCGCATGATTGTCCATAGTTAATCGCGATTAATCGCAAATTAATCGCACATTTTGTATCTGTTCTAAATGTACCTTAGAGGAATATTTTTCAAGTTTTTAATACTCTTATCAACATATGAGTGGACAAATATGCTTTATGTACATTTTTATTATCATTTGAACAATGACAAATATTCTCATGAATATTAAACACAACAACCTCTGAACATTACAAATATTTGCCTCAATTCAATCTGGAACCTCTCTCATACAATACAAAGTGTGTGTGTGTGTGTGTGTGTGTGTGGTGTGTGTGTGTGTGTGTGTGTGGTGTTGTGTGTGTGTGGGTGTGTGTGTGTGTGTGTGTGTGTGTGTGTGTGTGTGTGTGTGTGTGTGTGTGTTGTGTGTGTGCTGACTTTTCGTACAATGTCCCACTATCTGGCTTCCTGCATAAAATCAAGTGCTCGTCGCAGTTGTCGGCGAAAGGTCGCTCCTCTGTTTTCATTGAAACAGCTCCTTATATCCGTTAGCGCAGCTAGCTAGCACCAGATGCTAACAACAACAATACACGTAAGGTCTCTCTCGCTCGCTCGTGCCACACATACACACCAGGGTTTCCGTTAGCCGGTAATTACCGGTTTTTAGCTGGTAAAATGTATTAAAAACCGGTAAATTCAAAACCTGCCGGTCAAAATGTCTGGTAATAATTAGGGAGGCTCCGATAGATCGGCCGCCGGTCATTATCGGCCGATATTCACTCTTAATAGTTTGATCGGTGATCTCTATAAAGGCCGATCAGGAGAGCTGGATCTCATCGATATGGACATAAACGCGAGTGAAGTGTAACCGGACCCGAGAGAGAGATCAGATCAGCTGCTGAGTCTGACCGAGACACGCAGCTCTGCATAATCACCTGAAGCCCCGCCTCTGTTTAGCGAGCTGCATGAGAAACTGACGGGCTGTCAGGAGAGAGAGAGAGGGAGAGGGGAAAAGAGAGGATCCGTTTCTCCCGTGTTATTATTCAAAGTTAATGTAAACTTTTGAATAATGTACGTTATCTACTACAAGTAGTTTGTTTGAATGTAATAATTATGTTGTTTGTTGTTTGTGGAATAATTTATTGAAAAATGAATCTGAATTTTTCGATCTGTTACGATTATAAACTGAAGCAATATAAAAATGAGCCCCGTGAACTGAGTTTTAAACTGAAGCATATCTGCTCATAGTCCGGTAATTACCTGCTAACGGAAACTCTGCTACACAACTCTTATTATTATTATTGAAATATGACCGGTAATTTTCAAATGTGTCCGGTAAAATAAATTCTGCCCGGACATTTGACCGGCGAGAAAAAATCCTAGCGGAAACCCTGATACACACACCCTCCCGGTCCTCCTGATGGCCAGTCGGTGCCTGCCGGTGAGCGTGGAAGTGTGGTCTGCCGCAAGCGGGCGGCAGGAGTGGGGCTGTCAGCATTAGCTTGTAGATGGTATTTTAGACTTGATGCGCTCTGAAACTACGGGGCGGCCGAGGACAAAAAATACACATGCATTAATCGCGTTAAAATAATTAGTGGCGTTAATTCTTTTTTGCGTTAACGCGTTATTAACGCGTTAACTTGACAGCCCTAATTTTTTTGTCTTTTTGCATATTAGAAACGAGTTGGTGACACTAAAACTGCGATATAATAATGTAGCAATAATACATGACATATATTTTTTAAATGTCTCCAGTACCGATAAAAAGACCAATAACGTTGGAGCTTAACAGCGCGTAAAACACATGTGATGACGTCACCAACGAATCGAGGACTGAATTAGTTGGCAACTAATTTGGTAATCGATTTTAATCGATTAAGTCGATTAGTTGTTGCACCCCTAGTAGACACAGTGAAATGCTGACTTTATTTGATAATTTCAGTAAAAACTAACGTTCATATTTCTCTTTTTGATTATAATACTGATGAACGTTCAAAACAAAGCACTTTGGCAATTTACCACATACGTTTTAAAATTCTTAATAAGCACCGTAACTTTCATGATATAATTTCTCGGTCATAATCGGTTGTTTCCGTGAACGGCCGACTGTTGTGTGACGGCAAATGCTGCGGCTGCAAGGCATTGTGGGGCAGCCTCCATTCC